GAGTGTGAAATGGGAGGGTTCTAAGGCCTAAGCCAGGATTACGTTAGTCGATATTAGACTCGGCGGTCTAATGTTGGACGATCGTCATTACCATGTGAAAGACGACCTACAAGACACTGCAAACGAGCTGCTGCAAACGCTATTTATTTCTCAATCTAGTTCTCCTCAACACATGCAGGACAACTATCCTAATCATTCATCTAACTTTATCGATAGAATATTTCTTTATCAATAATCTAATAAGTTGTATTTTTAATTTTATCCCGTATATATTTTAAATTCTTAGAAACTTTGATGTGTTATTAAAAAGTGAATACAAAACAAAATGAATATTAATTATTTGATGATATATAATTATATATGTGATCATTAATTTAAAATATTTATTATAGTATGGTCAAATTGTTTAACAATATTATCGGTTACTTTGCAGAGGATGAAATTATATTCGTGATAGCCTTAGAGGGTTTAACGGTAATCAAAAATGTACAAAGTCACTTGAAATAATGGTTGGAAAGGTGTGGTGTTAAACAGGAAGGTCTAAAGAGGGTTCATGCTGATACTAAATTAGATGTATCCTTTATGATTAGATTCTCTATTTAACAGAACATTTAAATATAAAATTATATTATCATTTTAGTTTAAATATGTCGAGATTTTCAATTAGAATATTTGTAATAAATGTTTTTATGTAAAAGATAAACAAAGTAATATTATTTCTATAAACGTTGTCTTAACTTGATTCATGATGAAATGCTTAGCAGGGTGCACTACCCTTCGATGCCCCATAAACGTATTCATGGGTACTATAGAACACAAGTTAGCTTTTCTCCGAGGGTTCCAAGTTAACGTCATGAAATCAATGCTGTCGATATGAAGGCAGCCTGGCTAATAAAGATTGATGAGGTTTAATTAAACCCTCGATAAAAACGATACGTGGCAAAGACGAAATCAAAAGGCGAGACAATGGGAACATCAACTGGACATTTAAAAGCGAATATTAACTGTCAATCGATTAAAAGATGAGTCAGTATAAAGAACCAATTGTTTCAAACTATAATAAAATATACATTTAACGATGAAAGAAAAAATTTCTAATTGTTCGTAACAAACCTATTGTGTATCAATTTTTTAAATGAACGAAATTATTTGAAAAAAGTTCAAGATGATCTGTGATAGTCTCTTCTTACTCAAGTTTCTTGAAATGGATCCGAAAGACCACCTGGTTGTTTTTGGGATCCCATAAATTAGAATTTGTCAGCGTCCTTTTAACTTTTTCTAACAAATTTGCTGAATTTCACGCCTATTACCATTGTCAATGAGCAGATGTCATTCTAACAAAAGGGATGTAAAAGTGTGTACCTTTTCACAAGTTTTTCACGAAAAAAAAAAAAAAACAGAAAAGAAAAGAAAAGAAAAAGGAAAAACCTCAGACTCTATTTCTTCTATTCTACTTTGAAAATAAAACATGATTCGAATCGATGATATAATAATAATCCTAATTACCTTGGATAAACCAAATTTTTCCTGTTTTACGAAATATCATTGATGCGTGTATTAGCCTATTAAAATAAGCCTAACATACATTTTCAAAGGGAAACTGTAGAGAAGCGTTAGTGCGTGAAATCACGTTTGAGGAAAATATTTGTATCCGTCGTGGATTCGGTAGCTATTGTAGTTGGTTATGGGGGTAATAGTATAGCAGCAGACTAAATGCTGAAATGGTCTGCGGTCACGAAATTTCTTCTCTCAATGAATACTGACACCCCAAAAACGGTAGTAGCCCACCCAAATCGCTTAAATGTCATTGAATAGCTTTGATATTTTCCAATATCTATTGGGATTCAACAATGTCCTATATTTGTGGCCCCATTCATTGATACCTATGTGTACATCGACATATAATTCAGTAGCTGGCTACTGTCATTTCTACTATCTAAAAGAAATAATACAAATTGTATAAATTGTATATAAGAAATGAAAAATGAGAGTGTATGAGAAAAAGAGAGAGAGAGAGAGATAGAGAAAGATTAAAAGATGGAGGATAAATAGACATAAGGAAAGGGGAAAAAAAATGAGGAAAATGAGAAAGATAAAAGAGACATTGACTGGAGATAGCAAAAGACGCATGATCCTCCTGAGACTTAGGTACGAAGTGAGGAGAGAACAGCTAATAAGGCGTATCAGTTACCAAGGAGACGTGATCTCCTTAACGGCAAAGAAGAATGGCGGACGAAAGTATAAGAAGAGGAACCAGAAGAAGACTTCGGAGGGCTGGAAAACTCATAAGTTTCAATTTACTCTGGGATCAACCTTCACCGACGGACTTTACGACGTAAAACTCTCAAGCTCCCCGTATATTGATTTTTCACTTTTTTACAAATAACCAAAAAACAATATATATTTCATTTGTTATTAATAAATAAATAAATTACTTATTTAAACATGTTTGTTTGTTTGTTTAATTATAATTTATGTAAAGACAAAAAAAATCTACTTTCAATCAGTTCACGTTTAGCAAGACGAAACGTGGATTTCTAAATTTGAGAGCACTGTTTGAGAAACGTGAATCGAGAAATTGGGTCAAGTGCTAAGAAGATATAGAATGTTGTAATACGTTTATACCCGAGCCTAATTCGTGCAGGTCACTTATTGTTAGACAAATTTCGGGAACACGAGTTACATACTTGTTTAATTATCTTGTCACTATTGTCGTTATACAAGTAAAGAACAATACTATGATCATTATTTCAACTAATTATACTTATTGTAAATTACACTTTACTACCTTTAATTGATATAATTTTAATCTCTTATTAATTATAAATAATACTTATATATAAAGTACACATTTTTTAAATATAACAATTTGAATAAATTATAATAATCAATAAACAACTATTGATACATTATATATCATACAAATTATATGCTAATTAAATATAGTAATCTGTTAGTAATCATTTAAAATAGAATAATTGGCTATGCGGCAGTGTAGTAGTTATCTATGAATAAGATAGCATTT